TGGGGATGCATGCACAGAAATTTTTCAGATTCTGATTTTTAATGCTATATGACTTAAATCAACATGTGATTTACAATTGGCTGGACAGAAATAACAACAAATTTACGTTCCAAGCTCAGTTAGTCCTGGACTCTCAGAATCTTCTGGAGCATTCTGCAGAAAACCCCCTTTCCTATTGGACAGAAATATGTCAATATTTCATCTCAGTATTTCTTTCTGGAAGAAAGATATTTTTACAGTGCCATTTTGGCGCTACCAATACGATGCCATCAAAGCCCTAAATAAAAGACATTTCTATTGATGTTGATTATTTGGGTAATGCAGTCATCCCAGGAAAGCCAACACGCACAGGGGATCCACAAATATCCATTCTACAACAGGAAAAGCAAAAAATAACACCCCAAATAGGTGTTTGCATTGGAAGAGCATAGACAGAGATTTTAGCCAGGTATTACTGTATCATATTCTAACAAAATTTTCCATCTCAGACAGCATGGTAGCTCAATATATTTGTCCTGAAGACACATAAAAAAAAAATTAGTAAGCTTTCTTGAAATGTCTTTATTGCTTTTAATTGTTCCTTGGTAACAGCAAATTCAACAATTGTTTTTTGGTTCTCTTCCCTTTCTTTTTTTTATTAACATAAAATGTTCCTTAAAATTCCTTTTAAACACCCAATTTATCATACGCCTACTGCAAAACCTGCTTTTTATTGACTATACTATGAATTACACACCTATTTAACATTTCAGAAGGCAGGAGACCTCTCTCTCAAACAGGAATGTTCAACACCAGTATAGCTAAAGGACGTCTACACCAGCACAAATCAAAGGCAAGCACACTGAAATCTAGGCTAGTAGACTTTTCACATCCAGGAAAACCTCCCTGACATTATTGTTTTACAAAACAGGATTTCCTGATATGCCTGGAGTCAGCATGCTGTGACATGGGCTGGCACTGCAGAATAGCAATAGCATACATTAGATCTGTGTTGGGAGCTGGTTACCAGAAACACTGCATAGAAATTATGGTGAAGATTCTCTGTGAAATAGATTCTGGTTTTTCAAATGAGATTCTGAAAAAAACACCTCCTAACATTTCAGCAGAAACACTTTACAACTTGTCCAAATTGTAGATGTCTCATCTTTTCCCATAAAAGCTTACAGAGCTTTTAATTTACTGAGTTACTGTTTGTTCTAATGACTGTTTGAGGGAATGGCTTGGCATGAGTAAGAGATGAGTTTGTGTATTAAGTCAGAGCAGAAGTTCATGCAATTTACACAAAGTAATGAAAAGCGTAACTTGAACTCCCAACAATTCCACTTTCCCACCTCAAGTTCATAACACTGATATCATCAAATCTCTAAGAAGCTGCCGCAGAGAGTGGGGGGGGGGAAAAAAAAGAAGAGTCAAAACCAAGTTCCCAGCTCACACCAAGGCTTCATTAATTAGAACCACGTGCCCCAGAGATGGAAGAGTAGTGCACAATGGCAAAGGGGCTGCTGCACCCCCGCTATGAGAGCTCTCCTCTTGAGCAACACTGCAGAGCCTCCTTTCAAACATGGCCTTGGACAGGGCAGGAGATCATGACGAGGCCAGGCAGGGCAGACAGCAAACAGCAGGAAGCCAACTGGAGCTGGCCACCGGATCCAAGAAGAAAAATCAAAACAGCACAGAACAACAACAACAAAAATTTTATAAAAGCAGCCCTCATCCTTGCTCCAGACTTTGAATGAGCAAGGACTGCATGATGTGCTCATCAAGTAATTTTTTTCTCAGCTGTGAAGATTTAGCTAGTCATGTTATGCTCACCCTGTCATCGCTTCAGTTGCCTAAAAAAATCCCAGACATTTCTAATACTGCTTTTCCAATAAAGAAATGTACATTAGCTCAGAAAGTAGAATCTTAACGAGGCCTTACTGAATTAAAAAAGCATGAGGCAATAGAAGTCTGTATCAGGAGAAGAAAAATAAATAGCCCCTATTTAAACCCTCCTTTCACCTCAAAACAGAAGGCTCAGAAACTGAAAACTGATAAAAAGTGAAGACAATACAAAATCAGTCTCTCTCCTGAAGGCAGCAGATTTTTCAGCTGGCAAAATAAATCGTCCATTAAAAAAAAAAAAGTATCTAAATACATTCCACATAAGCACTCATTTGCAATACTGGAAACTCTCCAAGACTTCTCAGCACATGAAGCCTGTGTCTCCAGCTCACACACAAATGTAATAAGATAACACCAAGTTTTTAACTATTCATTTCTGGAGCTTGTTAGGTCACCGCTCTATTAAACATGAAGTAACCCAGACACCATCTCTCAGGGTAGCCTTTTTCCAAATTACAGGAATTTTTTTCAAATTACAGCAAACCCCACAGTATTTATATTTCCAAACAAATTACCAGCATCTCATATATAAAATTGTTTCCATGTATAGATACTTTCAGTAACTGCTTAAGAAAGATCCTAAACATTTGAGACAAAGGGGAAAAACACGGGTCTAATTTTAAATAATTAACACAGAATCATTTAGGCTGCAAAAGACTTCTAAATCGTTGAGTCCAACCTTTGACCAATGACCACCTTGTAGACCAAAGCATCAAGTGCCACATCCAGTAGTTTCTTGAGCACCTTCAGGGATGCTGATTCCACCACCTCTCCGAGCAGCCCACTGCAAGGTTTAACAACCCTTTCTGCTGCTCACCCACAGAAGAGGTAAAGAAATCTAAACATGAATGTACACTTTTTCAAATCTCAGATTTATTTCCTTCCTTACAGAAGAGCTGTTCTGGTCTGCAAATTAATGAACAAAATAAGCCTTCTTTTGATTTTCACCTTGTATGTGCTTAAAAAAAGATGGATTTCTGATGACAATCCCTACAGATTGAAACTCAAATTAGTTTTTCTCTTCTCATATACTACCATTTTACAACTAACTCTGAAAACCTTGAGGTTTTACTACTCCTGCTCTTTCTGCTATAGTACAGAAACTATACTGCATACATATAAACCTGTATTTATGTACAGACATAGAATCACAGAAATGAAAGCACTGGGCAAATGTAAAAGCTGCCATTTGAGTTTATACTCTCCAGCGGGAATTCCAGTCAGGCAATGTTCTGCACATAAAGGTGATTTTTTCATGGCCTTCAGGTCAGGCTCAGAAAGAGTATCTTCAGCATGGCAGGAGAAAAGGGAAAAGTGCCAACCCCCTTGCAAGATTAAATCTAGAGCTCCTTAAAAAAACACCTATTTTAATTAATTTTTTTATGCTAACAAGAAAAAAAAAATATTGTATCAAAATTTTAAAGTAGCAAATTCATATTTTTGTTTTTTATACCAGAACTTTTCTTTAACAGTTTAGTTTTAATACAGAGGGTACTTACAGATCTAAGAGGGTATTTACAGACAAGGAAAAATAGTTAAACATCAGGATATTTATTTTGCATACAAATATTTACAGAAAAATACTTACAAAAATTAACTATTCATATTTTAATTGACTTCACTTCAAAAAAGCTTAATGCTTTCACCTTATAAAAACATGCTGCCTTTACTGTGCTCAAATTTACTGTTCAGATCTCTGGATTTTCTTATAAGAGCTTTCTTTTGTGCTTCATCAAAGCGATTGACTTTGAGATCCTGCTCTCGGTCAAATGGCCTTCTTTCCTGAGGTTTGCTCTTTTCTTCAGATGCTTTGCTCTTCAGCTTTTTCTGGTGTATGTCCATGAGAGACTCTGACCTCTTTGACTCCTGGAAAAAATGAGGAGGAAGAGGAAGAAAAGTCTTAAAAAATATCAACAACAACATACAGGAAATCCAAATGGAAAGACTGAAGTCAGGAAGGCTAAAAATTCCAGAAAAAGAAGACAGCTAAGTAACTGGATATAGAATGACAAATTTAGCATACATGGAATAGAAAGTGTGTGCAATCTTGTCTAGGCTAAAATACTAATAACTCACTGATGTAGATGGCCATAATGTTGTAGATAGCTATGATGTTGCTGAATCACTGCAGACAATGCAGATAAATTATATACATAACGCAGAAGAAATATAAAAGTTGCTCTGACATTATTGGCAGAATGAAGACACTTTCTTTTCTTTTTCCATGTCAAAAGAAATACCTCTAAGTACAGACCTAGTTTCCTATAAACTTTCCCTAAACACCTGGATTTGGTCACTGGTAGGGGCAGGGACAAGCTAGACACCCTTTTAATCTTTTATGCACTATGGTGGGTTTTTAAATGTGTGCTCCTAACTTTGAATCATCTGTAGAAACAGCAAAGGCCTGGGTATGTTTTATTCCAGCAATGGCAGAGAACAAAACCATAGTTTTACATGAAAATTATTCTACTGTATTCATAGTGACAGTAGAAACAGACACTAAAGAAGAACCTTAAGACAGAATGCTAATAGCTCGGGATTTGCAAGTCTCTAAGTTGGGAGAAACATATGATTTAATGAACTACAAATAAATTATCAGAAGTGCCAGATAAACACATAAAATAAGCCAAAGATGTGATTAAAAAAAGATGGATTTGATGATGATTCAATTAAGATGATTCTCAAGTTAACTGTCCTCTCAAGAGAAAAGACTGCTTTCCATAAGAGTTCAGGCATCAAGGAAGTAAGAGCTGTAAGGCAGGCAGTGGTCTATACACTCTGAGGGACAGGGCAGACAGAGAGAAAAGTGAGAGGAAATTTGACATGGATTTCAGATTTCTAGTAATCAACAGCAGTCTGTGAACATTATCTGCTCCTGTAGAGACTGAAAAAAAACTACATGTAATGAAGTTACTGTAATAAGTAGTTAATGTAATTAATGACAGAGGGTAATTAATGCAGTGACCTGCTTAACCCATCAGACCTCTTTTAGGTTAGTGCATATGTTAGCCTAAAAGTCATACCTGCACTATTGTTTTATTCTTGGGATGTCAGTAATTGGGTGAAGCAAGGTAATATTTGATCTGAAGTCCCAGCAACCATGTCCTGACATGAGGATGATTGAAGGGAAACACCATCGAAAACTGAGGCAATACACACAGACCCAAATTCTGTCACTTTGGAGAGTACCCAATCCTGCTCTTGTTGGCATTAATGCCAAAGTGTTCTAATGCCTTAAAACAGCAGTAGGTTTGGGCACTAAAAGGGAAAATTGTAGTGGCATCACCATGGAAACCAGCAGCACTAGAAATGAGAACCAGAAGAAGAGTGAAGAACTAAAGGAAATAAAGTATTTTGTGATTACACTTACATTGTATGAAGTCACCTGCTCAATAAGCCTCTTGTCCCTTCCAGATAATACTATTTCTTCATTATCCTTGCTGCTTGACATTTTTGTCTCTTCTCTTTCCTGATGAGTAGAAGAAAAGCACATGCTATAATATTCAGAATGTCTGAAGTAAAAAATAAGCAAATCTATATCTACTTTAATTAAATCTGGAGGGTAAACACCATGATAGAAGCCATCAGGTACTTTCTGCTCAGCTTGATAGAAGAAACTGGACATGCTAATTGGAAAGTCAATGAGCCGATACAGAGTATCTGACTACTGCAAAAAGGGAGGATAAATAAATGCATATCAATGATATTTAATTTTGTTACTTCACTGCCTTTATTAGTAAAGCCTGAATTAGTAAATCTTGATAACAAAGAAAAATCTGCGACAGAAAATTTCACTGAACATCCCACAGTATCTTTACTTTGTTTTCACAGAACATCAGTAACACTCACTGCCTGCAAGTGCATATGAATGAATAAACAAATGTTCACCTTGGCTTTTCTCTCTCTGTCAGCTGGAGTATCTGTCCAAATAGATCTATCACCTGATTTGTCATCAGCTCGTCTCTTGAATGTTCTTGGGCCAAATCCAAAGCTTTTCAACTCAGGTGGAAGCTCTGTCATCCATGATTCCCTGGCAACTTGTTTGGGCTCATTCTTTGCAAAAGAAGTAGGGGTGGAGGGAAGAGTAAAAAAAACATAATAAAAAATTACTGTCTGAATCTCTTGGCTTTCAGCAGAAATCACAGACTTTTTTTTTTCCTTTGTGTTAACACCTGCACACACATAGCATCCCAAGTGGAACTCCAACCAGGTTTATGAAGAAACAGGTGAAGAGAAAGACAAATACACTCCAGAAACAAAACGCTAGAAATTAAGAAATCCAACTTACGCTGTCTGCTGAAGTAAGCTTTTCTTTCATTCTCTGAGCTCTGCGTTCAAAATCCTGAGCCACATCAGATTCCACTGGTCCTTTTGCAGGCATTGGGCCTATAAAATTGTCTTCATCCTCGCTACTATCTGTTAGCTTCCAAAAATAAAACATTTCTTTCAAACATAGTGTCGAGAGCATCAAGAAACACTTTAGCTTTATAGAATTAGAATGACTTTGTTTAGAAGAGCATATAAACCCAATGCAACGTCTCTCCCAGACAACAAAAACCTGGATTAGAACTCCAGATTAGACCTTTTCTAGCACTTGAACATGGATACCTCATCTCCATTTTGCCAAAAGCAGCGTCTCTCATCTGAGGCAAGACTGCTGATAAAGGCAGTGGCAGCACACAAAGCCCTGCTACTTTGCACTGCTCTGCACACAGCCACACAGCCTCTCTGGCCATGGGTAAATTTGGAACACACAAGCATACAGCTTCCATATTTTGGGCTTTACCATCACTATCAATATTTGGATGTCTTTCCCTAGTAAGGACCACAATTTCACACTGCAAGAACTGTCTCGAGCTCAGATTCTGTAAGGATGCCAGAAAGATTAAAGTGCAGGGTAGGGTACCAGTGGCACACATGGTACTATGCCTCTCTCTGTACAGCATCTCCAACAAATCCCTCGGCTCTGTCATTCACTTCTTTGATCCCTCATGGATCCCTTCAGGAAGAACTTCTTCACTGAAAGGGTTATCAAGCACTGGAACAGGCTGCCAAGGAGTCACCATTCCTGGAAATGTTCAGAAAATGACTGGGTGTGGCCCTTAGTACCACATCTAGTTAACAAGGTGGTGATGAGTCAAAGGTTGGACTCAATGATCCTGAAGTCTTTTCCAGCTTAATGATTCTAACATCACATTCTAAGCAATTTTTTGGAGAAGGGCTAAAAAAATAAGCTTGTTAGGGACTAGATGTCAATAAAAATCTTCCTATTTGCCAGGGGTTGTACAGAAAGCTCACTGGTGCCTCCCTCCAAGTTCAAACAGTACAGGTGTGGATGGAAGCAAAACTAGACAGAAAATGCTGATGCCACAGTACCTCAGGAGCAAAGCTAAGGTGCCCAATATCTACAGAAGTGTAAAAATTTTGTTACAGTCTGACTGTGCGTGATAAAGCAATGGGAGTAGGATGACAAGGCTGTGTAGCCAGGAAGCACGAAGCATTACTTGAGAATACACAAGGTGGTGAGTCATTAGATTCACTAAAGCAAAGTGAAGAGTCAGCATGCCTCTAAAGATGTACTTGAATACAAAATAATTAAAGAATTTTTTTAAAAAGCCAACAAGAAATTACTCATATTCAAAAATAAGAAAAAGAATATTATTAGGAAGAGGTAATAAAAATGTAATTATTAGGAAGGGGAAAAATGGTAAGTTCTGTAATACCTGTAAAAAAGCTGATGCTAGAAAATGTTTTTATGAAAAAAGAGACTTTTTTGTTTGCAAAATATAAAAGCAGACCAGTTTTGACATCTCTGCCTCAAGAGATTTGTCACTATGATAAATTGCTTAATCGTTATTTGGAGTTATAAGACGATGAGTACCTCAGAAATGTCAGATAATCTTTCTGCATGATGAATTACAACACCACTCACTGTAGGAGGCTGGAGAATTATATGCTTTGCAACTACTAACCAAGAAAGTGAAATTTCAGAGCAGCCTTTGCATCCTTCCTTCCTAGAGTGTCTAGCATCTCCCATAGTGTCTAGGAGTTAAATGTGAAAATGTAAGTATTTTAAAAATAAGCAGAATAACCATCAATTCTCCCAAAGAACTAATATTTAATTTATCATAGCATGAGAAAGATTCACTTGCTTAAGCACTGGTATCCAGCATGATTTTTGGTGTTTTAGGGTCTCCTGCCTGGCTTAAGAGGTGCTGCGTAAGAAGTGCACGACCTTCTCTGAAAGTGCTGCTCCCTACCTGCCAGGCCCCTCCACAGGCAATTTGGATTCCTCAGAATGGTACTGGAAGCCCATGTTTAGGGAATTCAATCTTCCCCATGGCTGTATATTACCCCACATCTTGTTCCTGAATGTTCTTTAGTAGCATATGCAGTATTTTGCAACCAGGGATGGCAGACTACAGAACTTCTACCTAGCTTTTACCTAAGATGACCAGAAAAGTCAGAAAACATGAACCAAAAAGGTGTGTCAGTGTCTCTATCCTGCACCTCACTCCCCGTTACAGGTATCATCCTGCAATTTTTAGGAACAATTTAGTGACACTGTAATGCCATTCTTGATGGTATTCTTTTGGACAAACTTATTTAAAGGTTGTAGCTGCTAGTAAACATCTTTAAGGAGGTGAAGATGTGTTTTCTACCTGCAATTTAGGATGTCAAGATTGCTTGTGTTCAGTGAGTGCACCATCTATTCAACAGCAAAAGCACAACAAACCAGACCAGTCTTCTTGGGTTTTGTTTGTTGGTTTTTGTTTTTGTTTTTTTTCTCAAGGCTTATTTATGCTCCAGTATTTGACTCTAGCAAAAACATGCCATACACTTTCTGGTCCAAAATTAAACTGTCATCCTGAGATGTCTGGTAGTCTCTTTCAGGCTGCAACTTGTTTAACCATTTCAGATAGTTTGTGCTAAAACAAAAAGGTTTCTCTTTTCACAAACCTGGGGACGGGATTCTGATGAAACGGATGGTCCTATCAGACATCTGCTACTCCTGGTGTCCTCTAAAGGTTTCCTAAAGCCAGGTGGTAATGCAGGACCTATAATGGGCCTTGACAGCAGGGAAAAAAAGAAAGGAAAAAAAATCTTGATTTTTCAGTTGAGGGGAAAAAAATGTAGCAGATCAATATAAAAATAAAAATCAAACATTGATGAGAAGTGTGACTTTCTCCCCATGCCAAGTGTGCCCCCGTGAACACATACTGTAGAAATAACTGTCTCCATTTTCTAGCAGATCCTGTACAGACAGTTTTAATGCAAAAAAAACCCAGCTACAACATTTAGTCAAGAAAAAACACTTTTTTCTTCCCTAGCTTCCCTCACCAGATTCAAGACCAATGGAAGGTGGTAAGACAAATATACACTCTTTCTCACTCAACCAACCCAATTTCAATCTTCTTGTTTTGCACCTCAGTTTCACTGTCTTTTGGTAAGCAGAAACAGTGAACTGTTATTTTACTTGGAGTTGGAAATAGAAAAGCTTTGTGATTCCAGGTAACTTCACTGATTTGTTTTTAAGCAGCAGCTCTGCAAGCAATGTAACTCAGCTGTCTCCACAAACACAGAAAGGTGAGAATCTCTTTTCAGTGATGAAAGGAATACTGCAAACTGCGCTCAAAGAAACTGTGCTTACTCTATTGAAAGCCTTTTGAATGTGGGTTCCTCTTAATAATCCGCCATAATATTCTTTAAAGCTAATTACAAACCCAAACACCTGTCACCTGTATCCTCCCAAGGTAACAGCAGACTTTGTTTATTTTGACCTTCAGTTGTGAGCTTTAGGTTAGTAAAAGTAACAACACCTAAATTGAATTTGCTAATTATGGCCTTTATTCGATCCCATGTAATCTAATCAGTACAGACCTGCTCTAGTGATATTATTGTCAGTGTTTAAAGAGGGGAAATAAAAGACACAAATTCTCACTGAAGAACCAACCACAGATATACATACATGAGCAATAAATATGAGCTCAGGCCAGGACAAGGGCACTGGTGAGATTTTAAATGCAGGCAAGAAGTCTGAGTTCATTTTGAAGTTCCACCCCCACCTAGCTGCTGCAGTTTTATCTTCCTTCTTTCCTTCCTGACTACTTTCTTGTTAAGACCATGTTTTAAATTCTTAATGTAATGTAAAGAGTTTAAGCTTACACAGATACAGCCAAAAAAAAATCTTTTATTTTAGCATGCAAGTATTTTCATTCTGCATGGAGAAACAGATAAACCAAACTATAAAAAAAGCTCTCTACTAAAATATATATGAATATCTCTGTTGTAGGCTGTATCTGTGAAAAAGAACCAATCTCAAATGCTCTTGTCTTGATTTTGTTACAGCTCAAATGCTCTTTAGGAATTAGAAAAGTAGTTCTCATATTCATCCTTCCCATGCTTTCCACTTCTTATTCTTTTTTTCTCCCCCACATGAACATCTCTTCAGTTGTTCCTCAGCAGTACACAGGTGACATGATCCCTAACAGTTTCCTGGCTGTCCAAAGAGTCTCTGAACAGGTGAATTGAATCTAAATACTAATAATATTTTAACTCTGATAATATATTTACTCTAATAATATACTAACTACTAATAAATAACTGGTAAACACATTTTACTGTTACAGGCAACTTCAGTACCTATACGTGTTCAAAAATATCCCCCAAACTTATGGGCTAAGCTTTAATTTAGGGACTACTGCATTTCATATATGGCAAAGAACACTCTCCTGCTGTTGGACTTGGAAGTCATTGCTAATGCTAATTTCAAGATGGGTGTTTCAGCACTCTTCTGATCTATAACATAAAATTTTTTATGATCACCTTCACTCTTTACCTTGACGTGTGAACACTTCAGAAATATTTATGAGTGCTGCACTTCTGTCTAACATTGATAAACAATAATAAAATCTTCAAAACTGAAGGAAATCTTTTCACATATATATTTTATGCTGGAATGATTCAAACCATTTTCAACAAGCTGCAGATTGCCACACGAGCTGCCCCTAATCATGACCATGTTGCTTTCACAAGTCTGGAAAAGATGTAAGAGAATAAAAGCTTTATAAAAGAATGAGTATGTCACACAGAACTGATAAACAGCCTGTCCATACACTGAAACAAACGACCTGCATTTGTTTCAATTATTCATGGCTCAGTTGGCAGCTGGCAATCTGCTCAAGGCTTAAGGGCAATGCAGCAGGCAGACAGCAGCACGGTGTCTGTGCCCTGCACAGCTCACACGCCTCCCAGACTCCCAGGTGTGCGGGGGGGTGGAAGATAGACAAGGATCTTCCCACACATCACACCGTTCCCACCTATTCAGGGAACCAGGCTGGGTGCAAAACAGCTCTCCTCAATCTGCTTTCTCAGTGCGTGCTAGGAGCAATTGTATGGTGAGGCAGGAAAAAACAATAGAGCGAGTGCCAAGTGCCTTCTACTGCTTTAATCTACCACAGACACAGAGCAGACTCCTGCCTGTCACAGACTCCTCTTCTGTGTCACAGAACGTTCTGAGTTAGAAGGGACCCACAAGGATCATCAAGTCCAACTCCTGAGTGAATGGCCCCCTCCTCTTCCATTTTACCACCAGTATTCACGTCAAAAATCAAGAAAGCAAGAAGGCTATCTCTGCTGATATTAAAAGTTGCAAGCATTTTTTTTTTTTAAATAGAGAATACATTATTTTACCTACCTGCTGAATTTTTTAATTAAAATAATACTTTGTGCATACAGAACACAAGAAAAAGAAAAAAAAATCAGCTATTTGTGGGACCATCAAAGCACTAAATGATCCCACTGAGCATGATACCCACAGCTACAAAAGTTTTTTGATTACAGCAAAGTGTAACCAAATGTACATGAGAAAGATACTTCCAAATAACCTTAGTTACATAAATTCTTGCTTAGTTACATATATTTTATGCTGCCAAGCATCATAAAAATTTATGCAAACTTAAAAAAAACCAACTTTGATATTTCATTTGAGATGGTATATTACACACACAGCCCAACAGTAAATTGAGTCACTTTCCTGGAACTGAAAACTCATACCTGACAGGCAAGTATTATTCTATCCACCAACTCCCTATTACTCTGAGGTAGATAAAAGTGATCAAGGGACCACTGTACTTCTCATTAGCAAGTATCCCTTTGGAAACATCAGTTCCACTATGAATTATAATTTCAAATTGTAGAATGAAGTGCACAGATTGATGTAAAGACTAAAAGGCTGCGAGACACATTTCAGTTCTGTACAGAAAATCCATGTAATATTTTGGGGGGGAAGTATTTTATAACTGTAAGCAATCAAATTCTTCAAAGCTTCAAAGCCTCATGACAGAGACCATAAATAATGCTTATTTGTGTAGACATAACAGCCTCTTTTCTAGAAACCTAGAGTGTTCAGAGTAGTTTTGTACCTAGAGACATGCAAACAACAATCCTTGATGCATTAGCAAAGGACATGGTATTGCACCACACACAAGGTAACTGCCCCAGTCCCTCACAGATCAGAATGGAGTAGAGAACTATGGGTCCTCGTACTTGTAATTTGTTTTTATCCACTGATCTGTGGCCTATCAAAAGAAATGGAGGAAATTTGACATTCAAAATATATCTCAGAAAATTTACATTAGTTCTTTTACTCTCCTTCCAACCTGGTCTAGGAGGGCTGTGTGCTCTGTTTCAAGGGAATGCTGTTCTTGTTCTCAGAACATGGAGAAAGCATTACCTCTAATCATCTGAATCTCAAGTGCACAACTGAAATGTTCTGTAATAGTGACACAAAATATTTAATCTAAAAATAATTGTGTTTTAAGGAAAAGAATCTGAATATAATTCCATTTTAATTACCTCTCTGGAGAATCATCCTGTTTTTTAAATCCAGGAGGAAGAGCTGGCCCAAAAAAGCCATCATCATCATCGTCTTCATGAATTCTTTTTGGCTTCCTGCAAATACAGATTTCACTTAATAATTACCTTGACATGCATAACAATTATCTACATTTTAAAAAGGAAAAGAATCACATAAAATTATTTCATAGGGTCTTCTGTACTAAATATCCTGCTGTTACCAAGGAAACGGTGCAAAAGGATCCAAAATTATTTGAAGCAATTAAAAAATTGAGAGTATAAGATTCACTTCAAAAATGTTCTGACATTTAAAAAAAGAAAAAAATTAAAAAACAACATTAAGAATGCTTTTGCTGGAGAAAGAAGTTTAGTATAATGTTGAAATACCATTTTCTAGTCACAAATTAATTTAAAATTCAGTACACTTCTTTCTCCATTTTTATACACTGTCTGCATTTTGAGTAGTATTTTTCTTGTTCAATTCTAATTAGCTGAAAAACTATTGACTAAGAAAACAAGAAAAAAATTGAATAATAATTACTCTAGCACTCATTAAGATGCCATAATGGCCTTCAAGTCTCTTATACAAGCCTTAGAGCAAACATACACAAATTCTTAACACAGCAATTGTGAGTAATCAACCCAACAAATGAGAGTATCTGCAGACTCCTGTTACTTGTTTAACAATTCAGGTTTTTTTCATTAGAATTGACTTAACTGAATGCCTAAATCCATGTCCATAAACAGGTCTTACAGACTCTCAAAGAGAGCTAGTATTCCAAAACCAGGGCAAAACTCAAGTACCAAATACTTATCTACATGGTAAGTGGTGTCTGTCCCTAGCAAAAACATGCAAATTTGCAGAACTAAAATAAAACATATAAATGCAGAGATCTGACTGCCCCAAATAATTTAATTCCACCATAGGGTGTCAGACATGTCAGATGAACATTCTTGGCCATGAAGAACATGTAATCAGAAGTTTTACACAGGTAGAGAGTTCACCTTTTTTTACACAGCTTTGTAATTAATGTCCCCTTTTCCAAAGTTAGACACATTACATTTGCAATACAAGTTGAAAATACAAAAATAATCCAAAACCATACTCACTTGGGTGCTGGATCTCCTTCTGTCTCCTCTTCAGAATCTCTGTTTGTGTCTCTGGGTAGAGGAAGAGATTCTGAGTCATCATCACTGTCAGGAGTTTCTGAGCTACAGCTGCTTTTGTAGTCTGGAGGCAGTGCTGGTCCTGCAACTGAACATCCAGAGTTATATGGGATCATAAAATCACAGAATGGTTTTGACTGGAAGGGACCTTAAACACTATCTAGTTCCAATCTCCCTGCCATGGGCAGGGAACCTTCTACTAGACCAGGTTTAATAAGGATACCTGCTAAATGTTTCAAATAAGTATGATCCATGGTGGCATTTCCGAAACATATTTACTTGGAATTAAGCTTACTCAATCACTGCTGTCTCTAGCATTTAGAAGATATCTAAACAGACTTCTAGAAGTTACTTCTTTCATTACCTTATTTCCATCAACTACCTACTCTGAACTGTTCTGACTTAGGACATTATTATATAAGCGTGTTCTGGAACAGGACTAGAAACCCCTGTCTTATATAACAACAAATATACAATGGATGTGGCATAAACCAGTATACTTAAAAGAAACTACCATCTTTAATAAAGCATTTGAAGCTTACTAGTAAAGAAACACATCATCTGCACATACACAGTGTGGGAGACCATAAATTCTTCAATGGGAGCATTTGTAACCATAAAGTATTAAATTAATTACCAGCCTGCTTTAGGAATGGTTTAATGATTAAGGTTATTCTCAGTTCAACTAAATGTGAATAGCAGGGACAGATTTAAGTACTCTGCTGAAAAAGGGATGACTTAGGCATTCAGAGAACGAATTCAAAGAATTGTTGCTGTCAGAAGGCCAGGGTATTGGATGGAGCTCTTATGCTCCACTCAAACCTTCACCCTCTGGGGTACTATCTCAGCAAAATTAAAATTCAGACACTAACACTGCTAACAGGCCTGAGCTGGCACTCACCAGCAGACACTGTTTTTTATAGATTTATTTGGCTATAGTACCATGTGCAGTGGGTCCAGAAGCAGCTTAGCCATTGATACTAACAGCCCCCCAAACAAGACCCTTAACACTGTTACCCTCACAGGCTCAATCAACAAGGAGTCAGCTGGAGCAAGCAAAAACCAGTCCCAAGGTAAGGGGCCTTCCCACTCCAGGACAAGGCCCCTATTTACACAAACACAGTACAAACAGCTCACATTCCCATGTAATGGAGATCTGATTCTACTGATGATTTAGCAGCCTGAGACACAGACACCACTCCTCCTCTTAATACCTCAAGCACTGAGTACAAGATTTGCAGGACAGAGAGGTGCTCTGGTGAGGAAAAGACATTGTTCCCTTTATGAATAGTCAAGGGTCAGATGAAAAGATAAATAGTACCAGGAAATTAGATCTCCAGTTGAAGAACTACAACTTTTTGACAGCACAAAATACAAACTGATGCATATTATGGTCCCATTGTTAGGTGACAAAGGCTAGGCAGAAATCACAAAGCTTTTAATCATCTTTAGCGCAAGACACAAGGACAGTCCTCTAGTTACAAAGCATCCAGGCAGATCTGCCACTTCTTTGTTTCCTGTTTTAATGGAAAAGACTTCAGCTGGGACATACAAATCCATCTCAGCACTAGGAAGGAAAAAAAAAACCAATCAACAAACCACTTCTCTCGCTCCAAAAAACCCCAAACATAACACCTCAGTCTATAAAGGTGAAATAAGTTCAAGATGAAAGGAAAGAAACAGATGAACGTTTAGCAGGAATAAAATCTGCTATCAAGAAGTGTCCTCTTTTGGTACAAAAAGCACCACTTGAATAAAAGCACTTAAAACCCAGACAAATCCTGCACAACTGCTTTCTCCATCCACTTGGTGCCCTGACATCATGCAATCAGACTTCATTTGCTCTAAATGCAAAAGAAAAGACTTGGAGTGGAAGGAACAAACTCAGATATAATTTGATGACTGGAAATAGAGAGGAAGAGAGAAATCAGGAGTAGCTTTGTGAGCTGCACAGAACTAGTAAAACCAAAACGACTTAAGGAAGGAGTCTGGTCCCACTGGCATGTTGTTCAACACCAGGGATAACACATATTTTTATCCCAATTTCTCTCTGTTATGTTGGTAAAATGGTTTGCATGGGCTGTGCAATAAGCTGGATCAAGGAATTTAAAAGGCATAAAAATAACACTGCAAACCACAGCACTCCCCTGAAAGAACTGTTTGTTCGTGGAACTGCAGCCTAAGCAGGACAACCAGAAATTAAATAAAGACAGAGAGTGACTAATGAAGGGAAAATGGCATTTAAAGCCTGAGGAAGAAAAAGTCATTGGACATGTGAAAAGAAATGGAGGGGAAAGAGACTTGAGATTAAAAATTAATATGACCATGGCACTGAGACTAACAATCAGCACAGGCTGAAATTCCCCAGAAGCCACAGAAAAGTGGAAAAATACAGATCAAAGGAGGAACAGAGGAGAGCTCAAAGAGTCAGGAAACTAAACCTAATGAGGTGAGAAGAATAAATGGAGGTAGCAATGGCAGGGCAACAGGAAAGTGATGAAGTAACCAGAGCTTGGAACAATCCAGAGCAGGACAATGGAAAATACAACAATAAAATAAAATAGTACGATAAAAAAGTATGAGAAGGAAATTTTGGGGATAGTGAGGAGGAACAGGACCAACTGAGACTGAAGTGAATGTTTCACAGTTACTAGAAGTGACCATCCTACTAATGAGCTGGCTCTGGTGGCTATCTGCCTGAAAATTAAGTCAATTCAATTCAGGAACCAAATTAAAAGCTACTTTTTGTTTTGTTTTGCTAGGGTTATTTCTGCTGTATTTGAGGATTCTAAGCAATCTACCACACCATCAGACACATATTGGGAAGCTCTCAAGGACAGAAAAGGCCTTTCAGCTCCAGCATAGTGGTAGATCAACACATGCATGCATATTGTAGCAAATGTGGCCTCACGCTGAAACAGACAAAACTCCCTTCTGCGTCTCCGGTTATTTTTAGCCTTTCCCTAGCACATCTCTCCTGCTGGTACAAGGACAGCCCAGAGGCAGGGACAAATGGCCAAAGGAAGTATGATTCTTCCAGCAGGAGCACAGTTAGTCCAGCTTCAAAGCACTGTCATGAAGTGAAGAATCAGGAAATGAGTGCGTCCCATGGGCTGGACAAGCTGAAGAAGGTAAAGGATTTACCAGGGATGAGCTTTCGGGTCAGTCCAGCTACCATTTGCTTCCATCCTGTTCCTGATTAAGGGTCACAGAAATATTACCAGCATCACTTCTCTGACACCAGAGGTAGTCCATGGGCAATGTGGTTTGTCCCATGGTAAGAACACCAGTGGGTATTGCAGGAGAACGTGTTTGGATGCTTGTATCCAGAGGGCGGGTGGGGCTCAAGGGGGCTGAGATATTTGCTACTGACTGTGGCACACATCAGCCTGCACAAGAGAACAAAATGCTGCTGGAAACTGGGCCAACTAGCCTCTCAAGGCTGCAGGCAGCTCACAGGTGGATTGCCTCCAGAAGGAATGCATTAGCAATAAATCTAATCATAATTATACATAATCACTCTCCCATTTCTTGTGCCTGAGAGCGTTCTATTGTGCCTGAGAGTCTTCCCTGCCACAGGCTGCTCAAAGTCCTACTCTGTTGCTGTTGGGAGACAGAAACTATGAAAGTAGACTAAAAAGACAAGTGCTCTTCAAGAAAAGCTTCAATGAGAAGCTCAAATATCAGCAAGACTATTTCAACAGGAAAATCATTGGAAAAGCTGTTCAGCTTTAGAAGGTGAAGCATCTCTTAAAACAGTTAGAAAACACAAGGGAAATTGTTACAGAACAAATTCTAGGCCCATTTGACTCAAGAGCCAGCAAGTGTTGCAGCACAGAAGGTGCTGGTGGCAGCCCCACCATGCGATTTCTGTCACTCCAGGTGCAGGGCTCCAGATGGAGCTGTAGTTCTGTACAGCAAAGCATGTTATGCCAAAGTACTTGCTCTCCTTTCTTCCTTTGCACTGCAGCAGTCTCCCTCAAGAGGTGAGCAGGGACACTTAGCTGCTGTAAGTCAAAGTCAGGAAAAGTTTGTGAAAATTATAAAAACAAACAACCTGCCAGTAGCTGGAGTTTGGGGTTTTTGTTTGTTTGTTTTCAAAGGCAAATAAACTCTTTCACCCACTTCACACAGAAATTTCCAAGCAGATCTTGGATCAGTCGCCAGTGCAACTGTAATACCATGGAACCGATTTCCACTGGGACAAAGAGGGGACAAATTCAGCTCAGTAACCTAGACTAGACACTGTCAAAACACCCAGTGTCACAAACCCATGGCCTAAGGATAAGTTTGACTTGCTTTGCTCATACACGATACAGATACTTGCAGCATGCATCAGTGTGTTGATGGGAAGTGAATAAGCCACTAACACAGATACGGCCAGGAATGGCACCAGCTCGTGTAGCAAGGTTTCTGCACAAAGCTGAGATCTGCACCCAGAGCTTGATGTTGCCATGGTGTCAGCTAATGCAGCAGCTCTGTCCCTCTTGCTAGTGCTCCCTCTTCTGGATTAAAAAATTAGAAGCAGACAAGCACAACAAACCCTTCTCGTCAGAAAGGAGCCAGAAAGACTTCCTTTGGAGTAACCAAATGGTCACTGACTGCTAGAAACTGAATATATGTACTAGTGCCTTGAACCTGTTTTAAAGGAAAGGAGCGTAAACACTCCAAGTGCTGCTTCCAGATATATTACTGACAGAGAACGTTCAGGAATTTTAGTGGGGGAACTGAGCTCCAGTGCAGAAGAGCCAGCCTGGCAGTCAGCTGGTCTCGGTGGGATCCCGCTTCTGTTTGAAGGCTCTCAGCATGAGAGAGCCTGGCAGGCGAGGCAGCACAGCCCTACTGGCCGGCAGTCTGCTCCACATCCCGGGGTACACTGCATGGAAAGCCACAGCTGATGAAGTGGTTTGGCTTGGCAGAGGAAAGCACGCTGCACAGGCCCAGCCTCCTCCTTTTCTGCCCGCTAATTTCACACTTGGAGCTGCTGAAGAGCACAGGCTTCAAAGCGCACGCCACACTCGAGCGGGCAAAAGTAAGCGACTCAAAGCACAATTTTTCTAAATCGAGTTTTAGAGCGTTTCATATCTGTAGCATTCCACTGCATGTGTCGACTTTTTTTCTTTTTTTTTTTCCCTTCTGGAAAAGTCACTGCAGTAACCCTGGCGGGAAGTGCAGCTCCATCCAGGTGCCGCACTATCGGTGCGCACCCCGCGCTGTGACACACCGGAGCCCCGCTCTCCCGCCCACGGAGCACCCCGCGCTGTGGCATAAGGGCCGCAGAGCCCCTCTGTCCCACCGCCGCCGCGTCCCCGTGCTCTCACCCTGGCTGAAGTCCTCGCCCGGCTCGGCCTCGGCGCGGCGCGGGAAGCCGGGCGGCAGCGNCGGGCATCCCCCCGCCCTTCTTCCCGCCGCCCCCCTGGGACACGAGCTGCTGGGGTGCCCCCGTGCCCTACCCGCCGCCCTACAGCACCTACGCGTCCGCCGACACCTACTCGCGGCCCAAGAGCTACTCCCAGCCCGCCGACTCCTACTCGCAACCCGCCGACAGCTACCCGCCCGCTGAGAGCAGCTCGGATCCCGCCCAGGGCACCCCTCCCGCCGAGAGCTATCCCCAGCCTGCCGAGAGCTATCCCCAGCCTGCCGAGAGCTACCCGCCGGCTCCGGGCTACCCGCAGCCCGAGAGCTTCCTTCCCCCTCACAGCTACGCCTCGCCTGCCGGCTGGTTCCCGCCCGCCTACGGAGCGCGACCGCAGGGCCCGCACGCTGGTGAGGAGCAGGGCCGGGGGAAAGCCGTCTCTTGGGCCCGTGGGCTCCTTCCCATCCCACACAGGCAGGGGCCCCGGGGCTGTCCTGAACCCTTGGGGCTGCAGGACTCTCCTCCAAGCATGTTGGACATGCAGCCCTCTCTTATCTCTTCCCTAGATCCCTCACTTGCCCACCGAGGTTTGTGTGTGTGTGTGTGTCTGTGTTGTGTGTGTTTTACCAGCTGTATCTGCAAATGGCTCATCTTTTTGTTTCTCTGTTCTGAAGGTGGAAATGGTGATTTCTCCCAGAAATGGCAAGGCAAGCAAGTGCCTGCATTTAATAAACACTGTCCAGAAGGAAAAAAGCCAAAGGTATGGAGTGGGGTCCCCAGTGCAAGAGGAACATATAAGTGTTGGAGTGGGTTCAGGGAAAGGCCACGGAAATGATTGGGGTGGGCACTTCTCCTGTGAAGGCTGAGAGCTGGGGTTGTTCAGCTGGAGAAGAGAAGGGTTCAGGTAGAGCCTTGCAACACCCGTGCAGTACTTTCAGGGAACTTAGGAAAAAGACAGGGACAGACTTTATAGTATGGCCTGTAGTGATGGAACAAAGAGTAATGCATTGTTTTAGACTGAATCAGAGTAGATTTAGATTGGACATAAGGAAGGCTTCTTTTACTCTGAAGGGAGTGAGATACTGGCACAGATTGCCCAGAGAAGCTGTGAATGGCTTGTCCCTGGAAGTGCTGAAAGCCAGATTGATTGGGGCTTTGAGCAGCCTGACCTAGTCATGGATTGTCCCTGCCTGTGATGGGGTGGGTTGGAACCAGACGACCTTGGAAGGTCTCCCCACCCAAACCATTCCGTGATGGTGTCAGTCTTATGGGACTTGGTCCAAGGCACTATAGGGATCCCATTCTCCTGTCTAACATGCTTGTCCTTAGAAGAGAGCAAACACGAGACAGTCTGTAACTCTTGAAAGATCCATGACAGCCAAATTCTTACACAGGTGTATGTCACCTTATTGTGGTGATGCTGAACTGCCTAAATTAATGCTCTGTTATGTGACCAGCCAGCCAGATGACACTGATGTGTCTAGTGGGAGAAGGCAGGGTCTGTGCTGCCCTCTGAACTTGTACATGTCGTGGGAGAACAGTCATGGTCTGTCTTGGTAGGGAAGAGACCTGGGGCTTTAGCCTAAAGCTCAGAGCCCTTAGGAAGTCCATGCCAGCAGACTGGTGTGTTTGCAGAAGCGATGATTGATTGAAATGTGATAGTGGGAAGAGCTGAGTGCAGGACACTTTGTTTAGAAGATAAGTAATTTGAACTTTCGTGTTGTTAGCTTATCTTTGAAACTTTTGAAACATATAACTGCTTTATTAACAAAAAATACTGATAGTGTTTCATGACTAAGTACAGGAACATCTTGGAACTGCAATCCTGACGTTATTTCTTCTTTTTTTCTTTTTTTTTCTTTTTTTCTTTTTTTCAGACCAAAAAGAAAAAAGAGCCAGTTTTCTCTCATTACTGTGATACCTGTGACCGTGGCTATAAAAACCAGGAGAAGTATGACGAGCACATTTCACAGCATAAACAGGTTAATGAGTTTGGCTTTTTTTCACACTTTTTTCCTTTGTGCCTGACAAGCAGTTAGTTATAGTCACTCTTTGATCAGAAGACATAGGAAAGAGATTCCAGAGTATATCAGGTGTTAGTGGATACTCTATGTAGGAGAGGCTTCAGTTGTATTTTTTGTTTTATTACTGAAGCCTTTTAAATTGTTTTCCTTGTAAAGTATTACTAAGTCAGAGGAATTAATTCATTGACACCACTATAGTATGTACAGTTTTTGTGTGGAAACACTTAAACAATTTCCTTTATTGAAGATGTCCAAAATTTGCAAGTACTAAGTTGAAGAGTGATGCAAGTTTTTATCTTAGGTAAACTTCACTTTCTCTTCAGTTATCACATACATTGCATACACTGGTTATTCTAAAAACCAGATGAAATTTAAAAGTACATTATCCTGCTTGCTGTTTTTACAATCACCTTTGTTAGCAAATTTGGTAGCTTACACAGTTATTTGAATTGTGCTCAAAAGCTTGCTTGCACTTTGTGTAAACTGGTATGTTTAAAGTTCACCCTCTTGTCTTGCAGTGCTCAGAAGAAGGTTGCAATTTCAGTGCACATGAGAAGATTATTCAGATACACTGGAAGAATGTAGGTAACCCCCTGGGCCCAAAATAGGAGTCTGTGCTATCTTTGCCATAGCCCCTTTTCTCATTCTTCAGTGGTTTCCTTTTATGCATCTGTAAAGAAAATATAACACCTCTGAGGAGAATCTGTTTCAAGACAATGTTGTAGATGAAAATGCATTAAATATTATGCAGGTTTCTTAATGGATCCATTTTATCATCTCCATGTACAGTCTCACCAGTTTTGGAGATGAAAACAGTGTGATACCACTGTAGTTGATGTAATGATGTTTTTTAACTTGTGGGTTTTTTTCCTTCCTCTTTTAAACACCTGTGAAATACTTTTTCTTTAGGCACATGCACCTCATGCTAAAAGAATAAAATTAGATAGTCCAGAAGAGATTGCTAGATGGAGAGAAGAAAGAAAAAGGTAAGACTTGTGGCCGATGGATTTATTTTACTGTATTTTCCCTGCTGGGAGCGTTAGATGGTATTAGCTGAAGGGCAGCACATAACTTGTATTTTCCGCTGTTCCATTGACCCTGCAAAACTTGCAGCAGTGATCTGTGTCAGAATGCCTGAGGCAGAAGAATTTGAGCTGCAGAGACTATAATAATTTATAATACCAAGCAGGGTATCAGCTGAGAAAGGAAACAGCTTTCCCAGATTCTTGATGTGGTACCCTAAGTTAGGTGAATGTCTCATTCTTTTTAGCCTGGTCACTGATCACATTTTAGGTCAGAAATGTTTGTGTGGTGGTTTTTAATAGCTTAAAAATCTGGAACTATTGTACTGACTATAATTGTAATACTGTGTGCTGATCTCACCAGCTTAAGTTGTCCCAGTAGACCACACCAGGGAGTTTTCCTAATTTTTTCCAGGTTGCTTGATGCTTTTGCTTTTCTAGTGAAAGAGAACAGAAACCATGAATGATAAGTTCTCAGGTAGTCTAACTTACATTGTATGCAGGGTGCAAGGTAAAATTCTCCTATAAGCAGTATTTCTCACTATTTCTTACCCTGTAATGTAACAGGGTATAACTTTTCTTTGTTTACTGGGATTGAAGTATTTATGTTCCAGATTTACTTTTTTCCTTCAGAGTTCAACAGGTTAAAATCTATGCTTTCCCAGCAGGAGAAAGATTCTGCAGGCTTTCCTCAATTCTCTTCATAATTTAGAGCATGGTCTTGCAGGTGACCAGTGCATGAGTTTTGTTTCCATGAGCAAGAGTGCTACATGCAGAATGGGAAGTGATGTAACTGTAATTTTGAGATCAGTGGTGATGCACTAGGGCAGTGTACTAGTCCCATGGGTTTTTTTTTTAGTGAAATAAACTCAGTGGTCTGATGGAACCTTACTGATGTATCCACCTTGCATCCATGTCAGAAGGCAATGCTAATGAATTCCTGCTTTGGACTTCACTTCACTTAATACTTCTTTACACTGTTTTTGTTGAAAAAGAAAAATTAATGGAATTGATTGTAAAATTTTTTAACTGACTCTCATCCATTTTTTTCCTATATGGAGAGGCAAAATTTCTCCCCATGTGAGTTCATTCTTGGAGATTTAAATTTTTTTTTGGATGTGTTTTCAGCTTTTTCTGAGAATTTCAGGAAGGCAAAGGGGAATCTTACCACTATGTCAGCACATCACAGCAGTCAAGAATTGTACCTGCTGTTCATTTTTTACAAATGGAAATAATCCATCGGTTCTTAAAAAAAAAAAAGCTTTATTTAATACAGAAACAAGAGATTATTTTCTCCCATTTTTAAAATGCCATCATTAACCAGATAAAAATTGGTTGTGATCAGTGCAAATATGAGTTTGGAGTTAGATTAGGCAAGTTTTGGTGCTAGATTAGTTTTCATTCCAAGGTTTCCTTTTATCCAAAAGATGCTTGAGGGCTTGGTTTTCATTTGTTTTCAGTCTATATATTGCTGTTGTGGTTTTTTTGGTGACCTAATTTTCTAATGTAGCTCCAAGGAAGAAGATCCATACTCATATGCAGTCTCTGAGAGTGTTTTTGCTACTAATTTTCAACTTTTCATACACTTCTCTGTTTTGGGAGGTGTTCAGGAGAGTTCCTGTCTAGCAGCTGATGCTGAGGTTTAAGTGTTGAAATGATGTTTAAGATGTATATGTCAGTATGTGCTCTACTAGAACATTAGAGAAGTGGGAATTTAATGTAAAATTATGGAATTATGGATAAGATATCGTTTGTCTGGGGAGTGGGTGCTGCAAACCACAGCAGCCTTTATCTACACTTAGTTGTAAGGGTGATGCTCTGCCTGAGATGGTTTTTCTGAGCTTCTGAAGGGTCTCGTGTTGCTTTTACAGATGAATGTAATTTGTCTGTGATTCAGCATTGCTGAAAGCCTTTGCTTGCTGCACCACAGTAAAATCAAAGGAAATAAAGTCGAGTGGTCACAGCCACCAACAAGGCAGAATGGGATTAGGACTGCCTGAGCCAAGGCCACTAGATGGAGTAGTGCCTTATCTCTACTTCAGGCCTTTTGTGGGCATCGTGTTTAGCCGTGATGGATGGGTGTAGAATGACTACCTGGGTGGCTTTTGTTACTCTTTGTACAGCAAGGAAGCTCTATGAGCGTCCTTCTTTTTTTAATTAAAACAAAAAAAAAAGGGGGTGGGAGGCAGGCAGAGAGAGAAATCCAGCTGGAACTTTTGTGCAGCATTAATTGGGTCACCAGCAAAGCATCAGTTTAGCACTGAAGGTTTGTTGTTGACTCACAGTAAACATGGCATTGTACGGGAAAAAGGGACACCAGAGGGAGTCTGAGCTATTAAGCAGTTTTGGTTTATGGTGACAGGAAGAAACCTTTTTCTTTCTAGCAGCTCCAATCAGAGCTAAGAATGAATCTTTTTAGGTCATTAATAGTTTGTTTCTAATTAGGTTGCAGTGATTTAATACGTGTGTTTCCATGCTGCATCCTGTCTTGCTTGTTCTTTCAGCCGTTATAAATAATTACTTGCAGAGTTGAGATTTTTCTTTTTAATTAGCTGCTGTGTTGCTCAATTGTGTATCCTGCTTAAAATCTTCAAGAAAGGGCTTGTGTTTAAAGTGTAGCCTTACTCTCATAGAGGAAAGAGGAGGGGGAGGAGAGCTGGTAAGGACTATCTCTGGATGAAGCATGCTGGGTCGGAATGCTGTTTTCCCGTTGAACCTGCTGAGCCAAGAAATCTAATTAAGCAAAGAGCAATAGAGATGAAGTTTCATGGGATCTCAGGGTTTCCCTGTGTTTTTCAGACAGATGGTTGTGAAGTCTGACATCAACTTTTCTTGTTTTGATTTGTCCTGTCCCTTCCAAGTGTTGAGAAATGTGCTGTCTTCAGCATATTTTTTCTCTAACATGAGCTTAAAGAGAATTATCTGCAATGCATTTCCTTGATGTGTCAGAATGAGGTATTGCTGTCTTCCCTACTCCACAAGTGAGATCTGGGTCCTGCCAGCCCATCTGTTTTTCACCAACATTTCTTGAGCAATGGTTATTAGTAAGAATGTGGCAAGACTGCTTTAGTGTTAAAACCTACTTTTGCTTAGCTCCTAATATAACATTGGGGGATTTTCTTGAGCCTGTGTGTTGCTTGTAAATTCTCCCCTTTCTGCCCTGTTTTCTTTAATCTCATGGCATTGGTTTGTTCAGATAGGAATTGTATGTTGTAATTCCTTGCAGTGCATCTCACAGGCTGAGCATGTGCTTAGTGCTTGAAGTCCAGTACTGTTAACCACACCATTTTTAATTAATTTGTGGTTTTCTAGTTGCATAATGATAATCCTAGAGTAGTTTGGAATCCTTCTTGCTTTCGTAGTAGTGAAGTATGTAATATGGAAAATAATTTCTTATAACTTGGTAAAAGTAGAGAAGACAAAGTAGAAGGGATGTGTTGGTAGATTAAGGTAAACATAGATACAATAAAGTTTACTCTGATCTGCTGGGATAGATTAGCAATAAAACTGCCTCAGCTAACATATGGTTAAATCAGATGTGGGAAAGTTAAGCCAAGATTTTATCAGCGGTATTGGGTCATTTTTGTTCCCTTTGGGCTATTCATGTCTCCTTTGCTGTTGGCTGTGCATATGCAATTAAGACCAGCTCAAGAAATTATTGAGGCATTTTGCTCACAGTGCTGTTCCTATTAAAATGATGAACTTGTATAGCTCTTGACTCAGGAATTCGTTGTGTAAACTGCCATAGAAACAGGTCTCCTTTCTGCTGGATGTTGGCAAAGCTGTTTCTTTGCTGCTCACTAAGAGCTGCTTTACTCCAATGTTTATGAGAGCAAGATAAAGTATGCTGGCCTATAAAAAAACGCATGGCTCTGACTAGTGTGCTCATTTATTGCAAAAAAAATCTATTCACTAAGACACACGTGTTATTGATTATGCTCAGTGTCACTGTTTTCTATCTCTAGAAGCTTTAGGGTATCCTTTACCTGCATGTCTCCCTTTGCTGGGATATATTTAATATATTCATCTTAGCTTGAAAAGCAGTTTTCTGATATTATCAATTTATTTTGAAAAACTTTGGACTGTTGAAGTGCGTGCAGTTGGGAGCTGCAGCTGCTATGAGAGGGCTGCCTTCTCAGGCTGTACTAGCTTAATGGAGTTTAACTCTCCCTTTTACAGTAAGTTGCTTAGGTTTATAAAGCCCTGTGGGGACTGATGAAGCTGTTTGTATTCAAGCTCTGACAAGTTGTTTGCAAGGCATAAGTGCTGGGGTACTTCTACTTCAGTGGTGTTTGTAGGTAACATTTTAGAAACATCATTTTTGTAGGAGAGGAGGAGGACTTGCCATCTTAGAAGGGTGCAAATCCAAGTCAGCTCTTGGGATTTAAGCATATGGCCTTTTATGTGGAGAGACTCAGTCAGTAAAGGCAGTGAGTAAAATGCCATTTAACATTTTAGAAGAGTTGGAGAAAATAAACACAGCCACTATAGATGTCTTCAGATGTGCTTCTGCAGGCATACTGGGACTTGTGACTTGAGCTCTCGCCAGCTGTCAGTTACTGCCTGTGTCAGCTGGAAGGGTGGTTTAGGAGGAATCTGTCAGTCTTGGCAGTAAATGGAACTGAAAGTGTTGGTGCAGTCCATTATGGTGGCTCGTGGAGGGAGTGGTAACTCACAGGAATGAAAGTGGGAGGCATTCATGTCTCAAATCGTGTTGTGAGAGCATGTCTGAATATGTCCTCCATCAGCGTAAGTGCTGGAGCATTTGAAGACTCCTTTGCTCTTGTATTTAGGGTCTTCCCTTGTATTTGAAACACCCACCCTGCCCCACAATCTCTACAATAAGCTTGGGGATTTTTTGAGCATAACTACTTGTTTTATAGCTTGCTGTCCTCCTGGGAGCCTTTGTGTTTGAAGGAAAGCACCTTCTCCTAAAACTGTGGAGCACAGGTGGCTTCGTCAATGCAAAGCTTTTGAGATTAAAGAGTTCATTGCACATTTGCTGTGTGCTGGGAGTGTTGTAACATGGATGAACAAATCTAACCAACAGGGAAGAACAGAGGTAAAACATCATATCCCTGTGCTCACTTGAGCTGTATGGCAGATTTCTGGGAGAAACCCAAAGAAAATAGATGTTGACAGCTCATGTTCAAATCCTCTTAAATAAGACAAGTTCTGTAGTTTGTTTAGGTTTGTCTTGTAGAAAATGCTTCTCTTTTTCCCTTGGTATGTGGTTGAAGCTGTCTTGAATCAATGTGACGCTTAGCATTCATGTCGTAATATGGGGGAAATGCATGTGATAAGATTAAATATTTAAAGAAAGATATGTGTCTTTTTTGATAGCTATTTTTAGTGAGAAGCTGTTCTACGTTTCTCTTTACTCCATTTTAATAGACATCAAATATTTATACTTTGTGTTTCTATCCAGAAGCAGGGGGAGCACGAGCATGTGTTTCTCATTTACCACCTTTATCTCAAAGCACTGGCATTTAGCTAACTAATGTTTGCAGAGCAAGTAGTGAGCCATTTCTGGGCTTTGATGGTAAAAAGCCTGCTGCCCAGGCTCTGTGTGTTAGAACCAGCAAGGCATTTGTCTGGAGGGAAGGACATTAAGGGAGGTGGGCAATGGAAGAGATGGGATGGTTTGGGAGATGGTTGTAACAGTAGATTTCTTTTCATCTGCATGATTTGGCAATTTTTCTTGAACCTGGAATAAAAAAGGGACAGTAATTCCAGTGAACTTGAGGTCAGTGTGCAAGCACAATGCTGATTATTGCTCAAGAAGGAACTTGTGTGCTTTTCCCTGTCACATTAAAGGAATCTTGTGCACCCAGAAGCTGTTCATATAACCTTTTTTTTTTTTTTTTAAGTTTACAAGAGCTCAGCAGTTAGTTTACTGAAGGCATGTCATTCAAACAATCCTGTTGAAGCTCCATAGAAATCAAATAGGAGGACTAAATCATGCTGTTATGTGTTGGGTCAAAGAGAGGATCCATGACTACGACCAAATTGTTTGTCTGTACCTTGCTTGATGGTTTGGTAAATCTAAGAATATTAATGTGATAGATTTTTTAAATTTTTTTTATTGTTTTGTTCATTGCATCTGGATATGTAACTATAAATGCACTCAGGTTTCTTTTCCACACTAATGCCTTTTTAAGAAAGAAGCAGTCTGTTAAACTTCCTTGAAAAGTTTTAAAAATCTGCAGTGTTTATAGAGGAAGCTGGTTTGGTAAAGGGAGAATTGAGAAACTACAGTGTAGCCTTTAGGAGCCAGTGAAACTATTTTTTTTTCTTCTAGAAATTTTCCTACGTTGGCAAACATTGAAAGGAAGAAGGAAATGCAGATGCAGAAGGAGGAAAGGGGAGAAGTTCTGACTACCCAGCAGTTTGGGTAAGCGTTTTGAACCAAGCTTGTTGCTTTCCTCTCACTGAGTTCAAAAGTGTGCTCTCCTACTGTGGTCTCCCAGTACTTACTGCTTCCACTGTATACAGCATCTGGTTGCCCTTTAGGAGAAGACAGGCCATTTGACAAACTGCTGATGTAATATTATTTTGTTTACTTCATAGTGCTCCAAAGCCCACTTCACTTAAATGAAACAATAACTACATTAAAAATCTGGTATTCTGGCTTGTTTGAGAAATCCACTTTCTAGTGGCCACTCATTAGATCATCATAACCTTGGTCTCTGAAAAGGTAGCAGGGGACAAAAGTCATGTAACATAATGATTCCACATTGTTTAAACCTTTATTGCCTGAAAATGGCCAGCAGAGATTTTTTTTTCTTACTCTTTCTCCTTTCTGATGATAAATCAGTAGTCAAGTGAAGAAGGGAAAATGATAAAGGTGATGGAGGGTAGAAAAAAGAAGCAGCACTACTGAAGGTATAATGAGAACTCTATGAAAATAAAGTTAAACCTATCTGCTACCATTGTTCTGAGCTAGTACTTACTTGTCTTGGATTTTTGTCTGTTCTCTGCCTTATAAATTATTTTCCAGCATGGTTTTGTTCTCTCTCAGTTTCATTGTTAGATGGAACCAGCTAACTTTATTAGCTCTGCTTTAGGGCCTGTAGGAAGATTATTTTTTATATCATTTGTTTAAACTAGAGTGACTGAGCTGGAAGGCAGGAGCAGACTCAGTCCTAAGGGGCTCTTGGTAAATGCCATTTTCTGCTGCATGGAAGTGAAGCTGGGGTCTGCCTAGCTTTTTGTATAGAGGATGATGGCAAACAAAACAAAACTTGTGCCATGGTAAAATGGTTGAGCTAGTGCAGAAAAAGAAAATAAGTTACTGTAATTTATTAAATGTGGACAGTGCAGATTATCTTGTTGCAGCATGTGCATCAGAATATCCGGCACTTACCTGCCCCCACCCAGCCAGTTGCCTTTCCTGACCGAAAGGTTTATAGAGGACTGAAGTAAAACTTCCTTCAAAGGATATAAAGTTGCAGGAGTGCTTTGCCCCCGAGGAACCAAACTTGGGCATTGAAACTACAGCAGCAAACATATCTGATATTATGTTTGGAGATTCTTAGGAGCAAAGGTGGATTTTCTTTGTCACAGTAACAAACTGTTTAATGTCTACACATTTTATTTGCTAACTTCTGTGGCCCTGAGTCAGATGAATCAAGTAGTCTTGAATGGCCATCAGCAATTCCATGCTGTTACATTTGTTAGTAACTTAATATCTGGAAAACTGTTCGGAAAAAAAAAAGCCCTCAAAATTGCAGTCTGATTCTAGAAATGTCTTATTTTTCTCCCTTCCCTCCCCCTGAGCTAGTAGCACTCTAGACTTGGTGAACTGTCCATAAGCTGTCGTTTCTGCTATGTATGTCAGCAGTAAGGATTCTGGAATTGGTGCTTATCTGGCAAATTTACTGATGTGTGAGGAAAAAATAGAATACAGCTTGTTCCCTGCAAGCTGTACTATTCAAGCAAATAGCTAAGTAATATTTAGAAAGGATTAGATGCTTAACACTTCCATGGTGCTTTCCATTTGTGGTTCTCTGAAGTGCTTTGCAACTCTTAAGTCTCAACATCCCTGTGTGTGAGATCAGAGATGCAGAAGGACCTCTTTGGAAGCCTGTTTGCTCACAACACCTGAGTAATAGTGCACAGCTTTCCTTGACCTCTGAATGGAGAGTGAAGAGCAGGGTCTTTTCCATGAGGGAATGGCAGAAGGCAGATGCCAGGCTGATGTTTGCTGGGACATGTTTTTGACCATGAGGTTTATTTCTGGGTGTTTGACCCCCAGGGAATTTAGAGAGTTTTTAACCCTTGGTCAAGGACAACAGCTTTGATTGAGCCTGTATTTGCTTGATACCTTCTAGGTTGTACAACATGCTGAATTTAGATCCTGGTTGTACAAATTCAGAAATGCAGTTTTCTCTCTTGTTGGAGTTGAATCATAGGAGATAATATTAGCCTTCTTTTGTGGGTGAGAGACTGATGCACAGGAAGGCAGTGGCTTGCCACTTGTGCCACAGGAACACTGTGGTGGGTGATGCCATCAGGCATGAGCAATCAGTGTTGGGCACTGTTAGCGAAATGACTGGAGAATGACATTAAATAGACTTCGTTGTGATATAAAGTCTTTTTGAGTGCTATGACAGGCCTTGTTCTCTTCTCAAGAAGGACTTGATAAGGCCAGAAAAGGATGGAAGAGAGGAATGCTGGTAACAAGAACATATCTGAACAGGCAAAGTAGTGGGTGGCTTGAAAGGGCTGTGTGATGGAGGCCTAGAAAAATTGCATAGGTGGAAGAGGTGAATAAATTGTGATTATACACTGTTTCTCTTAACTCAGGAGGGATGGGGTACTAAATTACTTGTTTAGACCTCAGAATGAAGGCAAAAAGAAGTCCTTTGTCACAAAATAGTAACACCTCGCTGTAAGATTTTAGGGATGCCAGACACAAGCACAGCATCCCGCATTATGAGGCATGTGGTGGACATGGGATAATAGGACTTCAGTCGTGCTGTAAGTGAGACTGAGGCAGGGAAGGCTGATCAGAATCAAGCATGGGGCTTATTCAGAACAGGAGATCTTGTGTAGTACTTGCTGTTGTAATGTACAGATAATTAGTTACAGTCTTGTTTAGCTGAATTAAGTTTCTGTTGCTTGGAAATAAATATTTTCAGGAGGCTTCAGTTGTCCCTTCTGTATTCGCTTTTCTCTCTTGGTCACATTTATTTTTTATCTATAGAATTCGACCAGAGTTTGTTAAGCTTTCCAGGTATCTTCCTATCAACATGTGTTTATAGGATAACCTGGAAGATAATGGAGCCATGAAGGATACGTGGAACCGGCATGCTGTGCTCTTCCTGTATTTCAGGACTTGTTATTTTGTTTCAGGTTTTAAAAAATGCATTATCCTGATGGACATTTCTTTTATTCCTTTTCCTTGGAATAGAAAAGTTGAATGGCATGTTAGTTGGAGGCGGGAGTAGGTAGTCATTGCAGCTGATGGTGTCAGATGGCTGAATGGATATGGTGCAGCAAGATGCTTGTCAGAGCTGTAACTAGAAAAAAGAGACTTCAGCAGTGAAAGAATGTTTATAGTAGATGCTTTCCATTAAACTTTTTGTTGCCACTGTTCTGAATGACTTTAATGCTTAAGTGAAGATAGTATTTGTTGACTGTGTTATCTGAAATGAAAACATCATGTCCTCATGTTGCAGGTTATCGAGGAACTTTCTTAGCCCATATACGCTTGGCCTTGTTGAAAACTAAAAACTAAAAGTCACAAACTTCAAACTGTTCATTCAGGTTCCAGTTTTGTCCCATTGCCCTGCCTGAGATGAGGTGTGACTGATTTTGTGGTCAGTCACCTCGTGTTAGCCGAGCTGGTGTAAGTCCTGGCATCGTTCTGTATTGCTGAACCTTAAACAAGGACCTCAGACATTTGGCTACATCAGTTGTTTTTATTCTCATAGCTTATCATCTGTATGAGCTTTCTGTTTCTATTTGTCAGCAAAATGAAGGGGATGTGGAAACCTCCAGAAAATGGAGAGGCCCGTGGGCATCAAGGAAGACACAAGAGAAGACGATGGCGCCCATTCTGGAAGAAATTCAGGAAAAACGGCGGCGATTATCATGAACATGCAACTCAAAATGAAACAAATGGACCAGAAAACAGCACATGTGAAAAGGAACATGAAAAACAAAATGCTTTGGCAGGCCAAGCATATGAGAAAGATGTGGAGAAAGATGTGGACCCTCTTGGTCTTCTGGCAAACAGTGATGTTGGTAAGATGAAGGAGCTTAAAAAGGTTTTATTTTAAATAGTTGTTTTAAGTTCAGGTGTGGAGACTTTGTGCTTGCTAGTCACCATTTTGGAAGTCTGACATGAAGTTTGTTCTTACATGTTCTGATGTAAATATTGTACAGTAGTCTAAAGGCCATGCAGCACCAATTTAGGTTGCTAAATTAACATCTGAGATAAAAAAATACAAAACTAGAAGAAGAATTAAGTACTTCAACAGCCAAATTATTCTCAAAGACTGTTAAATATCCCTTTGTGGTTTTGAAAATGACAATATTTAGAAAGTGAAAACAAATGGATTTCCTTGTATGAGTTAAGTGAATTACTTAAAATGTCAGTATTTTACTTTTAATTCTGTTCTTTGCTGTATTATTACTCTTGATATTCTCCATATGTGTGTGTTCTCTGAAGTATTGCTGCTTAGTTTTTTGGATTTGGTTTTTTGTTGCTTTTTTTTTGTGAGCATGTCTTATTTCCTCATGCTGGCAGCAATATAAATTCTTCAGATCTAACTATTTATAATATAGTCAGCAGTGATGCAGTACTCCTAGAATATGGCATGTAAGCTGACTTGTACTCTGGCTATTTTTAGCAACAAGGGTAGACATTCCCTGGAAAGACGTCTGATGCTGAATTTTTCCTCTTGAAAACATAATCTTTAATTAGTGAGAACAAGAACTCAGCATCCCTATGCAATTTGTTTATTCCATTAATCTTTGTGTGTTGGGAAACTTAAGTATGCTTAAATATATCTGTATTTCCCTGCAGCATCTGTGTTTTACTTAATGATAAAAGGTCTAATTATGCCGAAGTACAGCTAGTGACTTCTGTTATAGTAGGTAGAGAAGGAATGTAGTACTTGCTTATTACACATTATTAATGCTAGTTGCAACCTTTTATACAATTGAGAAACATAGCCAAAACAAATAATAATAAACACAATATAAATAAGCAGAATTAAAAAAAAAAAACCAACAAAAAAACACAAGCAACCAAACAGAACAGCCCAAATACATTATTTTACTGTATAGGTACATATTTTTGGTTCACCTCTTTTTTTTTTTTTTTTTTTTTTTTTTTGTTAATTCCCCCTGATTGGCTTCTAAATCCTTCTCCTCCATCTCAGAACTAAATTCAGCAAGACTTCAGAACATACTATGAAATCCTCTCTTTCTTTTTACCTACACTTGATAACAAAACCTACAATTGTATTTGGTATGCAGAGAAGGAATCAGAAAGCTGAAGCTTGTGTTCAGGAAACTTTTTGTTTCAGTGACTTTGCTGGCAGGACTGTAAACCATTGGAGGTACCAGTTTACTACCACCTATCTGTAGAGAGTAGACAAATGTGGGGGGTTTTCTGTCAGTCCACAGCACTGAGCAGTGGTGCCCAACATCAGGTATGTGTGGTGCTGAGACAGGGATTTAGCAGCAAGGCTGGCTGTTGGCAGCATTGTTGGGAAAAATCCCTCTTTCCTTTTCTTTCCCTGCAGAATCTGACAAGGATGAGGCAGCTGAGGAAGATGGGAGACTGGGAATGACAGTTGTCCCCCGGCAGGTGACCTCTGCCCTTACCGCGCTGTCGGTCAACTATAGCAGCTCATCTGACAGCGAGCCCAAAGGTGTGTAGGAACAACCTCTGCCCTTCTCCTCTCCCCTTCTACCCTGTGTCACACTGTGGTGGTGGGGACTGCAAGCAGGACTATGGCTTTTTTTGCTTTCTTTTTCCCAGCAGCATGTCCTGGGTTGAGAGAGGAGGTGTAAAATGTCTTTGATTAGGTTGTGTGTCATCAAATTTCCCAAGCCTTTTCTCCAGTAGCTGGGGGAAAATAGGGAAGCTGTTATTGTCCCTCTGTGAGCTAGTTTCCACATCCTTAAGGGCTTTTTCCATAGAAGGCTGCTGGGTGTTGAACTCTCTGTTACTTGGATTTTGTGCTACTCTGTATGCATCAGTGTGTGGGGAGGAATTGCTGCTGCTGCTTGTTTTTGTGAATATTTACTATTCCTTACTTGCCCTGGGTGGCCTACCCAAAGTTAAGAGACCATCTAGCAGACAGTGACTTGAACTTGGGCATCCTCTGCCCTAACTGTATCATGATTTTCCCAGCAGCCAAATTTGCAGCAAGCTATATTGTGAAGCAATGTACTTCTTAAGTGATAAGAAGGCAGAGGTTTGAAAATCTTGATCAGGTCTTACTCCTTTTATTTTTCTTTTTGAGCTGTAGAATTGAAATAACTTGTTTTCCTTTCTGTGAATGTTTAGAGATTATTCTTTTTATTTGAAAAGAGAACCCAACCCAAACAAAACCCTCCCTTCCTCCAAGTAAACCTTTAACATCTCCGCATCAGGTTGTGCAAGCAAGAATAATACTAACGAACTGCCAGTGCATGGGGATATGAGCCTGTTGAAGAGGCTTTTAAGTCTGAGATGAAAGTGTGTTCTTTTTCTTTAAGAAATCCCTGTCAAGACTGCAACAAAAGCTAAGAGAAAGGCTGTGCTCAGAAATACGCCTCAAACTACTCCTGCTCCTCAGAGTCAGAAACCAAATCAAAACCGCCCAGAATGCTCAGGCACAACGTTAACAACGTTAAAGAGCTCGAATTCAAAAGCGCGTCCCCCCAGAAGGCCTGATAAGTGGGGCAGGAAAACATTACCTCGCCTTCCCAAGCGCCGTCCAACTCTGCTGGAAATGGTAAGAGGCTAAAATAATGCCTCCTGTACATGAGTAGAACTATTTGTCAGTGTTTCTTCTCTTCCCTTGAGGAAGTTAGAGCAGTCTTAGCCCTTAGTTAGCACAGGGCTATAGTATAAGAATAGTAAAAAGGAACATTTCACTTGGAGAAGGTGAAGATGCTTTAATGGATAAATAGAAATACTCTAGGATGCATTCAGGTAATGACTGACTGGTAAGCAAGAGATAACAACTGAACCATGTGTCTGAAATGAGCTGCACAAGGAGCAAGCCCTTTGTTCCTCTTTCTTCCCTGTGGCAGTATCCAGTAGGTTTTGTTTGTGTGTAATCCCAGCAGCCATGGTCTGATCTTTTTGCCCCCAGCTTTGCTGTTCAGCCATGTTCCTCTGCTGGAGGAGCACACAGTTCTTTTTCCACATGCAAAGAGATCTTGTTGAGAAGAGTGTTGGTGACTTGAACTACAGAGTGGTGTTGAGCTGCAACCTGTTTGCAGAAGGGTTTCTTCTCTAGGCATGTTTAGATCAATCTGAGGGACAGCACCTTGAAGAGCAGCAGGTTGGTGTCTCAGAAGGGTAGAAAGACGTTTGTAGGCTTGAGTCCAGGGTATTCCCAGTAGCAGTGAAAAGCAACCCATTTGGCTGCAAAGTTTGGTGTCTTTCTTTAGAAAGCTCCAACAAAACCTTGGAGCTTTTATTGTATTTATTACTCAAAAGCAGTACTACTCTTACGATTCCATAAAAAGCATAAGGGAAAACTTGCAGTGGGCAAAACACAGGAGAAAGCAGGATGCCACTGACATCAGAGCTCTGAAATAGCACAGGAAGTTTTGGCAAGAGATACCTGATAAGGTACGTCCCAAGCTGCAGATGTGGGAGAAATCCCTCAGTAGTCTTTTTAGCACATAGTACCATTACTGCCAAGAATTAAAGCTCCTAGTGACTGAAAAGGAAGTGTTTGTCCTTTGTGTAGCTCGCTAAGCATGCGGTTGCCTTTATCACTTGCTCTTCAAAGTTGTTGGTGATCAAAGCAGTGATGACTCTGGAAGAACGTCAGATGAAGTCCCACATGCTGAGAGAAGCTGGCAGTACATAGGAAACCCGAGTTGAAGCTTGCCAGTATAGTCCATTTTTAAAATTGCACTTTAGTGAAGTTTTTTGGCCTTTTCAAATTGCTCAGAGTTGTTTTTAAAGAATGTGTACTGTGGCTATGAATCACAGAGGAGGGCCTGAGGTTTGCAGGTAGGTTTCACTATCATTAGAAATGGCCAGTGTGTAAAAACCTTGAGTGGGAGCAAGGTGGAAATTTTACAAAATAGATCCAGAAGGTGCATTAGAGCACTAAAGAAAGGTTGTTGCATCAATGAAATTACTTTTTTTTTAGAAAGAAAGGAAAGTAGGAGAATAGCTGTAGGTATCTCTTGGCAGTCATTCAGCAGTGAGCTTGGGCACTACTAAAACATATTTATTGTAGACATGCAAACACTGATGTATATTTAGTCATTCTCTAGGCTGACAAAATCAAAAGCTTTTGTATCAGTGGAGAGATACCCATCCCTGTACTAAAAAATGAAATACAAAGATACAGTCTTTGATAAGGTGATTGCTGCAGCCCAACTGGGCCCTAATTTGGCCGTTTGGGAATTAACCAGTTTCTCCCAGTTGAACAAAGAGAACTTGCTATGAGAAATAGCTATGCTGTCCCTTGTCTGCCCTGAAGTACATTTAGTTCAGATAGAAGGTTCCTGAAGGTTCGTTTTAGGTGTCAGCTGCTTGTAACACCTCTTAGCAACTGATCTAAGTAGAAATATTCAGACTTAAAAGTGGCCGGTTAAACCACTGTTCAAAATTGTGACAATGAAAAAAACTTCTTGGTGACATTGCAAGCCAAACATATCCAAATCTGCAGTGTGTAATACGGCTCTCCTGCAAATGATCAGGTAGTTACAGATTGAGCCACTTGGCTCAGATTTTGTTTGTTCATGCTACGAGTTCTGCTGACACTCACAATGAAAAAGGTTCATTTAGTTCTCTGGCTGATAGGTTTCTTTTTCCTACTACCAAAGTGAATTTCAATGAGGTTAAAGTCAATGAGGAAGGCCTCCAGCACTTTGATTACTAGAATTAGGTTGGTGTATGTATTATAGCCCGAGCCAGTTACTGCTGCTTAAATCCATGGCCTGGTACTTGATGAAGGATGCCCTTTCCTTGTATTTATCTTTTACTCATAGGGGGTTTAAATTAAAAATGCATGGGATATTAAATTGCAGATACAGTATAACTCAAAGTGTGAAAAATGATAATAGACCTGCTACCCTGATGTACTAGAATGCATGGCCTGGTATTACATACTGTTAGGGATACAGTCCATGATATGAGAACATCATTGTCTCTGGTATGGCAATCTCCAGCCCCATGTGTCCAGGAGCTGTGTGAGAGAGCCAGCTGTTAAACTTGAGAGGTGTTGGAAATTTCTGAGTAGATCAGTATATTGCGCTATGCTTTTATCAGCTACAGAGCAATAGAGGGAAATGTGCATCATCTTCTCTTTTTTTTTGATTTCCAGTTACTGGCCCAGGACATCCGACATGAAAGGAATGTGATTTTGCAGTGTGTTCGATACCTCATCAGAAATAATATGTTTGGACTTCATCTTAAAACAGAACCACAGGCTGAAGCAGAAACAGAACAGTCTTCTACACCTACAGCAGATCCTTCTATGGACAAACCTGATGAATCTAACTGTTCTTGTAGCTCTGACCTTCAGTTAGAAGGAGGAGAAGAAGATGCATTATTAATAGCCCAGGGTGAGAAAGAACCTGTGGATCAGACTTCACAGATGGCTCAGTTGGCAGATGAGGACACGTGGGAAACCCCATCAATTCAGTGTGAAGGAGCTCCATAGAGGATGTCTCTTATGGACAGTAAAGCAAAAGCTTACATTTTCTATCCAACTGATACTTTTTGAAAGACATCAGTATAACAAAGAATCATTAAAGTACATACTGAGAGCTGTTAAAACCACTTTCCTGATATGTTCTGCCCTAGGTGGCCATTTCCTTGGAAAACATGTCAAGTAATTCCATTCCCACATGGCACAAAGGCAGCAGTGGCACAGAGTATGACCTTTCCTAGAGCAGGTGCTGATCCCTGCTCTAGAGCTTTAGAGTTCTTACCTTCTTAGGAAACGTGTGTGAGCCCATCCCCAGAGCAAAGCAGGATAGATCTTCCTTGTGTGAAGTCATGGTCTGGTGTGTGTGGAGTATCTTAAGCATCCAGAAATATTTCAGTGTAGTTTCAAAATGGCAATTCAGTGCACACATTATTTTACTTCAGCTATTATAAGATATATCCAATATAAATCTAATACATCCAGTGTAAAATATGGAAGATATAACTGACCTGGCTCAAAAAGTACTGCTTGTACCAGGAGCCTCTTCCTCCCTGAATTAAGTTGTTAATGGAGCAGAGAAATTGAAACTAGGGTGCAGGTTTTATTTATTTAAAAAGATAAAAAAATAAAGATACTATTAACTGCTTGCATCAGTGCTGGGTTGCTAGTTGACCTCTGGTGCCCAGTATTGAGCTTTATCTGCTGTTACAGTTATTGCCTGACAAATTAACCCCTGAAGCAAGCCCTCAATATCACTATCAAAGTTTAGAAAGCTTACCAAGAGTTACTGGTTACCTTTTGCATATAGGTTGGGAATTTATTAGTTGGCCTGGAAGAATGCCTTGGTACATTGTTAAGATGCTCCTACAGCACCCAGTGATTGGTTTTTTTCATGGGTTTGTGCATACATCCATACTGTTACGAGCACTAAAAAATGCATCAGCCAAGGTTTAGAAACAAATTTAGTCTTTTGATTATATTGTGCATTTGTTTGCCAGAGCGCTTCTTATCAAGGGCAGGTGTTAGTTTGTTACATTGACACTGAAAACATGCCACAAAAATAATCTGTTCTCAAAGCCTCTGCTTCAGAATCTGCTCTTTGTCTTTTAGCCATGATTAAATGTTGCACTTGGCTCTCAGGGACTGGCTTCATTTTCTTTTTCTTTGGTAGAAGTCTGGCCTTCCATTCCACCATCTGAAATAGGGAGACTCACATAGCATTTTTTTATTGACTAATAGCTGTATTTTCTTTCCTTCAGTTGCTTAACTTGTGCCACACATCTCATTTGTGGAGTATAGGAAACAAGAAGTAGTTGAAAATTCTATCCTGCTGCTCCGCTATTTATAACTACAACTGCATATTGTGTTTGCAATGCACTGTCTAAATTTATGGAATTATATAAATACCAACACCCTTATAAAAGTCGTGTGTCTCAAGGATATATGCGCAGAATAGAAGCAGCGATCATAAACATTTATATTTCCAAGGCAGATGATTCATTCTTCCCATGATGATCTCACGAGCCATCTCAATCTCACTGACTTGCCTCTGGCTCTTACAGTTTTACTGCAATGAAAATACCAGTGAAGAACACTCAGCCACGGAGATCTGGCACTCGAGCAGAACCTGGTTTCAGAGTGGAGTGGTACGAGTGCTGTTGAAAGCATAAGTAACAGCTGCAGGAAAATAAATTGATGTCTTGAATTTGCTATTAAATTGCACTTTAAACAATCCTGTGTCCTATCAAGGTGATGGCAAAGAGCTTTCTTTGACTGTACCCTTTGATGTTGTGTTTAAAAAGACAGAACCTTTGCCGTGAATTCTTTATACTGTTGTCATTATGACTTAAGAATATTAAACTTTTGCACAAAACCAAAAACTGTCAGAAAAAAAAATAATTTTAAGTCTGTTTCATATAGATAGAAAGAAGTAGGTTTCTTTATAGGCATAAACCAGAGGTTTTAACCTAAGACTTCTTGCATACATGAAGAACTGCTGTTTTTCTCATAGCAAGCCATTTTTGCCAACTCCTATAGCAGCCATGTGGAGGCAGACAGTGCAGTGATGTCAAACCCTGAACTGTAGTCTTGGTCAATGGAAGGTGGTCTCTGTCCCTTCCTCTCCTGCACTTTTCCTGTTCTTCCAGACCACATACTTCAGACTTCACGTACTCTTTCCTGCTCATCAAGGATGTGCTTTCTTAGTACTTTGGATTCAGCCTTTGTATTGGAAAGGTGCCATAATGACCTTCTCTGGTACTGTCAAATGCCTGCAGGCTTTTCTGGTTCCTGCAGTTTATCTGCTCTGGGTTAGCAGAGGTAGGTTTTCACTCAAATAAAATACCTCTCTGTGTCTGTAAGAAGAGCCTGTTGTTTCTGGCATGCTGCTGAAGCCTGTGCCTTTAGTAAGCTTTGTGTAGCTTTTAGCTTTCTCATTGTCTTGATTTGGGGTGGTAGTTTCTTTAAGTTTTTTTTGCAGTGTTATTAAGAAAAAAAGAATCCTACTGCTCAGTCTTTGTGACTCACTTTAGATAAAAATATTCCAGTGACAACCTTCACACTTCTGAAATTTTATTTTTTATCTTTCTTCTTTTGTAACTTAGCTACTGAAAATGTAGTTGTAGGCGTCTAGTTTAAATTCAGTTCCCTTGGGCTTTGCTGTTTTTTTGTTTGTTTTAAACCCATCTCACCTACTGAGCTAGAAGAGTTGAGAGAGGGAAGAAAAAATCAAGACTACTCATTTGTGGAGGTGCAGCTTAGTCAATTTAGGCTTGTCTGTGAAGAAAATCATTTGTGCTACAACACAGCTGTTCCTGGGAGGGTAAGGGAAACGAGTGGTGGGCATTTCTAATCTGTGTGACTCCTTGGTCAGTGAGGGCTTTTGCAACTGATTTTACATGTTGATGTTGCAGTCCTTGGCACTGAAAGCACAGGAGAGGGAGTGGTTTGATTAGCCCTGCACCAAAGGGAGGTGCTGTCCCTGCTGCCAATGCTCTGGTCCTCTGTGTCACAACTGGGTGTCCCTCGCGGCTCCCCTTGTTCCTGTGACTGCTAATCCAAGTCATGTGGTGCAGTCATTATTCAGAATGACAGCCATGCAGTCCTAGCAGATCTCAGATGTTTGAAAAATGTTGAGGAATAAATACAGGCTCTGGGCTGGTGGTTCTGTCAAAGGCAGAAGTGTGCACTGGAATGCTGCATTCCCCAAGGTGTCTATCCGGCATCATTCTGACCATCTGTGAAAGCACAAGAGAGAAAGTTCATGAGGACTGGAAAGAAAACAAGTATCAGTTCAGGAGGATCTCAGGCCCTACGGCTTCATCAGCTTCACCTTGACCTCACAGAAGGTGGAGTAGATACTAGCAGAATCTAGAAACTATTTCCAGACATTGTAAAGGTTGGGTTTGGGTTGGAAGGGGCCTTATACTGGTTCAAAGCCCCTAACATGGGCAGGGACACCTTCCACTAGACCAGGCTGCTCAAAGCACCATCCAACCTGGCCTTGAGCATTTCCAGGGATGAAGCATCCACAGCTCTTCTGTGCAAAATATTCTAATTCACACCACCCTCACAGTAAAGAATTTCTTCCTAATATCTAACACACAAGAAGGCATTTGGGTTTAGTCAGCAGTGTTTTATGAAATTTTATACTTTATCAATCAGCTAGGCTTTTACAGAGTGTCACTGTTCGACACAAAATGAGTCACACAGATGCAGCTCAAGGTGTGGTGAAAGAAAGAGACCTTTATTTTCTTTTCTCAGTATTTATAAGTTTCTGACCACGGCCAGGGATCGGATAGTCGGGTTAACACCTTTTCAACCACACTGGCCATGAGAGATGTCCATCAAAAGATGTGTATCAGGAAGAATGTACACATATCTATGTTTACAGTTACTGTCCTGGGAAAGTCTTTAGAAACTATGTCAGCAAGCTCAAAAAGCTGAGTTTTCAGGGTGACAACAGAGAGATTACTTGTTTGATTGTCTGAGGCAAGAGCAGTGGATATTAGGAGCTCATTGTAGATTTGGTGAGACTTTAGATGCTGTGTCCTATAAAATCCTTGTTGGTGAGGTATGGGCTGGGTAGGTGGATGATGAGGTAGATTGAACACTTGCTGAAGTGCCAGGCTCAAAGGGTTGTGATCTGCCACCAGCAGGTTGAAAGAAGTGATCCTTTCTCTCTGTTCAGCACTGGTGATGTCCATCTGGAGTGCTGGGTCCAGTGCTGGGCTGCCCAGTGTAGGAGAGACATGGACATACTGCAAGTCCAGTGCAGGGCCACAAAGGTGATGAAGGGATTGGAGCATCTTCATTATGGGGAGAAGCTAAGAGTGCCTGGAAAAGAGAAGGTTTTTATCCATGGGATAATGGGCTTTTATCCATGTGGATAGACACCTGATGGGGGAAATAAAGGTGTAGAGAAAGACAGGCTTTCCTCAGTAGTGCCCATGGACAAGACGTGAGAAAAGCACCCCTAAGGGAAATATGGGAAATTTTTTTTAAAGATCAGAAGAAACGTTTTTACTATGAGAGGGATCAAACACTGACACAGATTTCCCAGAGATGTGGAGTGTCCATCCTTGGGGATATTCAAAACCTGACAGGATGCAGGATGCAGCCCTGAGCAGGCTGCTGTGAGTGAGAATTGGGAGGGATGATCTCCAGAGCTGCTCACCAGCTTCAGCTGTGCTGGGACTCTGCAGGCTGAAGTGGATGTGCTGCTCAGATTTGCTTGTTGGTGCAAATCCCTTGCTGTGAAGGTAGTCCCTGATGAAATGACAGGGCAGACAGACCCTGTGGGCTGGCCTGGCTGCACAAGGCTGATGGACTGCATCAAGTATTGAAGGGAAGGTCCAAACTCATCACCCACGACAGCTGACATGACTCCATGGCCTACATTTGTCCCTAGTGTTTGCCCTTGTGCAACCTTGAACTTCAGCTCTGTGCATCAATTTGCAGAGAAGGATGCCAAATCCAACACTTCAACTCTCCTTGTGGTGCAATTTGAGATGGATGAATGAAAAATGCTGTGTAAGTGTTGGGTTTTGCTTTTACTTGGTGAGGTGAAAAAGAGTCGTGTCGGTCTGGGTATTCACTGGTGTAGTCTGGGAATGCTCAATACCTGAAAGAAACTCCCACTCTCCCTACTTTTCATTACTCTTCTGGCTTATGTTGTGTGATTCTCTTCCTAAATTGTCCTCTGATTTCTAAATATACCCTTCGGGGGTGGCTCTTGTTTGGCAAGACAGCTTTCTTGGCAGGGCATAATTTTTCCATCTTTTTTTGTATACCTAAAGGAAGCTGTATAGACTGTGTGTGAGCATGGGCTCTTGTATGAAGGCGATACCAGCTCAGTAAAATAAAACTTGTGCTGAGGAGTATCTGACACATCAAAACTCCTAAGCGGTTATAGGAGCAGCTGTTTTGGGTGAGGGGAAATCCAGTGTGGATTTAATTTGCTTTCAGGCTGACTAAAGTCTTAATGAAAACACTGATGCGGGTACTTGTTGGGGAAAAGGAAACAAGAAATTGGAACAAGTGCAATGTGCAGTTGGAGGGAAACAAGTTTGTTTTCTATTTGTCACAGCAAGCCATGTACTGAGTTGTTAAACCTGCTTCCCCCACTCCAGTCTCACCATCTTGCTTTCTAAACATGGGCTGATGCGCTTGAATGGTGGAAGTATATCACTGGCTTTGGGAAAGCTGAAAGAAAATTGCACCAATATCTGCCTATACTGATCCATGCTCTCTTGACTAGTGGATATGTTCAGAGCTGGGTGCCTTTTGAACTCTGTTTCCTTGGCAAACAGTTGGGGTAAAATAACTAGATTTCCCACTGGACTGACTTACGGATGGATCTGGGCAAAAAGGATATTTTTTCAGCTCCAGAAATGGCCTGAAACATGCCAAAGTACACCTGTTTGTAATGATTTCAGAAGAGATTTCTTTCTTATGTTTTTCCAGAGTATAACATGCGTGGAACATTTGTTTTAGGTGAAACCTATCATTTCACTGGATGCTGGAGAGAGGCAAGGTGATGCTTGGAGTATTCCTGGTCAGGGACACATGAAGGCTTCCTGTCATTGGGATGCCCATCTCCCAGGCAAGTACTTTTGTTAATTTTCTTGTTAATCAAAGCTGTATGCTTCCTTCACCTTCACCTTCACCTTCACCTTCACCTTCACCTTCACCTTCACCTTCACCTTCACCTTCACCTTCACCTTCACCTGCTCCTGCTCCTCCTCTGCCAGGGATGGAGTGCGTAGTCCACACTCTCTCTCATCTGCTGGAGCTACTAAGTAAACCCAACCTGAATTGGAAAATAGCAGTGGGATTACTTAAAACCACATTCCTCAGCAAGTTTGTGGTTTGTAAAACTCTTAATTCTGCTGTACTTAAATCTAAACCCTCTTTATTTTCTTTTGGTCCCTTAGCAAGGAGATTTTGACTTTCAAGGGCAAGATGTCAGTATTGTACCAGGCAACATTGGAGGGAAGCTGATTGCATCATATAGTGGAAAAATGTTATTGCAGGTTTTCAAAAGTAGAGGTGTTCTCCCCACCCTTCTAAAATTCATTATGAATTCTGCTGCCTGTTTTTTTGAGTTATTAGGTGATACTGTTTATAGATATTTTCTCACAAGAGAGAATGAAATTTGTCTTCCCTTGCACCACGGAGAGAAAATAACAATACGTAAAAAAGCATCTTTTATTGCCCTTTGGTTTCATGGCCAGGAGCACAATTTCCATCTCAGGTTCAGACGACCCTTTCAGAGAACATGGTGTCTGTGAGCCCATGACTTCCATCCACACATGGGAGCTCAGATCTGGTGTCTGAGCTTCTGTGACATGCCCTGAGAATAGTCCAGGATGACCAGAAT